TGCCCCCCTAACCTTCCTACCCAACCCCGAACACATTTCTAGAGCCAGCAGTATATTATCAGATATCTGCCTGCCCTTCACAAATCCACTCTGTTTGGGCGAAATTATCTTAGGCAGAATAGCCTCCAGGCGCAGAGCAAGCAATTTAGAGAAAATTTTATTCACAAAATTACATAAATTAATTGGTCTAAACTCTGAGAAAGAAGACGCACCTGTTACTTTTGGAATCAAAGCCAACAGCGTAGCTGTGTACCCCCAAGGTAATTCTGCCCCTGCAAAAAAAATTTCCGACCGCTCTACACACATCACTCTTCACAACACCCCAACACGTAGTAAAGAAAGAGCCAGTAAACCCATCAGGCCCGGAACAACTGTCCCCATTTATCTAGAATACCACTCTTTGAATCTCATTTTCAGTAGGTAATTGTTGAAAAGCCTCGTTGTCTTGCTCTGATACCACCAAGGGGATAATGTCTAGGAGGGAATGATCCACTGGAACTTGTGCTTGTTGCGCCAACACTTCAGAGAAGTACTCAATCGCCATGGATTCTATCTGGGACTGCTCGTCTACCCATATGTCATTCATATCCTTTATATGGTGTATATAACTACGTATGTACCGCTGCTTAAATTGGGCGTGAAAGAACCTAGTGTTAGCATCCCCTTCTTTGAGCCACCGAACACAAGCTTTTTTACTCCAATATGTAGCTTCCTGCAGCAGAGCCGCCTTGAGGTCACACTACGCTTGGGTAAGTAGACGTTCACCCTTCTCTGTTGGGTTAGTCTCTAAAGACCCTTCTAGTGAAAGGACCCGCTCTTCCTTTTCTCGAACGCGATCGAAAACATTTCCAAATACCTCTTTATTCCACAGCCGCAACGCACCCTTCACCGCCTTCAATTTCGAAAGTAAAACCCTAACCGGGCGGCCCTCACAATCCACCTCCCAAGTCTTGCGAACCATATTAATAAACTCCCCATGGGACCTCCACACCTCTAGAAACCGGAAGCTGCAAAGGCCATTGCCGACGGCAAGGGAGCAAGTGACCAGCAACGGAGAGTGATTCGAAGCTACTCTAGGCAAGTGCGTCACTAAAGTGTTAACCGCCAAGTCCAACTACATCTAATTCACTAGAGCTCGATCCAGACGCTTCCATATTCGGGCCCTTCCCCAGCGATTATTGCACCATGTAAACTTGGGGCCAGAGAAACCCAAATCCGTTAAGGCCGCTTCCCCAGTGAAATTTAAGAACGACTCCGCCTCAACATATCGGAACGGCCGATCTTCTTATTTCTCCTCTGCGCTAGCAATGACGTTAAAGTCACCCAAAAAGATTGTTGGGACACCCATTTGACTCACCCGAAGTAACTGCTGTCAGAGTTGCTCCCGTTCTTCCAGGGCACACGGTGCATGGACAAAAGTCGCAATAAAAGGACACCGGAAGTAGCTATGGGTAATCTTCACTGTCAGAAACTGAGGAGAGGCCACAACAATGTCACATTCGTACTCAGCATCAAAGAATATCCAAATTCTGCTTTCAACATTCAAAACACCAAACGGGAAACCCAGTTTTCAGTATACAATATCCAAATGCTCACGACCCATCAACGGCTCATAGAGAGCTATCAACGAGATGTGGTACATGTTTTTCAACTTTCGTAGTCAAACTATCATAAGAGCGTTGTTCACCCCTCGAGCATTCCAGAAAAGTGACTTAATCATGGCGCTGCGCAGAAAGAGCTCGCGGAGGTGAACCACCATTTCTCTTCGAGCGACGACGAGTGATCGGACCATCCAAATGCTTCCGACTATCCTCCAGTGGCGGATCATCTAGCACGCCAGCCTTGCGAGGAGATACGTTCAAGGTTGCAACCATAGCTTGTTGTTGAGTGGTCACCTCCTCCTGAACCTGTTCCTCCAGGTCGTCCGTCCCTACCTTCTCAGCCTCCGCTACCCGAACGACATCAGTAGCCAGGACAGAGGCCGCATTCCTAACGCCAGTATCAGACTCCCCCACATCTGATTCGCCAGCGACCTGCTCAGCAAACCCATGTATTAGCCGATCTGCCGCCTCCCCGATCGCCTCCTCCACCAGTCCAGGAAGGAAAATAGTCAGCCTACCCTGCATAGAAACTGGGTCCGTAGGCGTCTGAGTCGCGCGATGCTTTGGTACCAAGTCTGTATCACCGCCGGCTGGAGTCGAAGCCAAAAACTCCCGTGGCTCCTCCACCACAATCAAACCAGATATCCCTCCACCATCTATGTTAGTAGTATCCACAACAGGAGCCACTGGAGGGGGAGAGACCTGCAACCCCTTCTCCGAGCAGTCCGGAAGAGAAGCACTCACCTCTTGCAACCTCTTTTCCACTCGACCTCTACCCGATCCAGTTTTCTGGTTCTTCTCCACCAGCGGCTGTCGAAGTTCAGGGTGCTTCACATGGCAGTTCACCTCACCATGGCCCTGACGGTAGCAATGACCACAATAATTGGGCAAGTTTTCTGGGCTCAGAGGCTGCCAGAAGCCGTCACCATCTCCCATGTCTACCCAAACCCTCACCGGCAGTGGTTTTAACAGGTCAACCTCTACACAAATGCGAGCAATATTCGGCTGAGAAAATGAAGACGTAGCAGAGTCTACGAAAAGCGGGGTGCCAAGACAGGAAACAATATGGAAGAGGCATTGTTTGTCGAACAAATGGATCGGTAACTTCGGCAAACTAAATCACACCGGGACCAGGGAGGATTCCCGATCCACATGAAATTTGGAGGACCACTTAAATACTCTCATAGGACAACCATGCACGTACAATTGTGTATAATTGTGTAGTTATACTCCAAAAGCTAAGTTTCGAATATAGAGTAGGAATTTATTTTTTTAAAAAAGTAACTTTCATTTTTATTCCAATTTACTTTTTGAGACATAAATAGGATAACACTTATATGACCATTTTCGATTTATTTTTGATTTACTTTTAGCGGCCATTTGATTATTTGATAGGTCTATCCACCTAAATAGGATAACACTTAAAAATAAGAATATAAGTTTCCCATCTAAAATAGTAAGTTAACAGTAATAAATTAGTAACTTTTATACTTCAAAATGTAAATTGAAATAAATATTGAACTTACTTTTTAAATAAATAAATTACTACTTTATATCCGAAACTTACTTTTTAGAGAGTAAGTTTAATTCAATTAATAGTAAGTTTTTATACATAAATAGTAATTGTTACTGATAACATGGTAAAATTGATTAATAATCAAAACTTACTGATTTATGGTGTGACGCTCCCACTTCTCCCAAGGGCGAGAGTATCCGCGGAACGCCTGTCCAACGCTCGCCAGAACTCGGGACAAATCGATTCAAGCTTAACAATATATAACAATTTATACTAGTCTAATAAGAAAAAGTCGATTCCATAATCGAATATCCAAGTCTTGCATCACAAGTTCAAAATACATCAGTTACTCAATTCTTACATCAGGACCCAAAAGATACATCAATTCCCAAATATATACAACAGCTAAAATGTCTAGTCGATTACGTTTGAAACCCTAATACAAAAGTACATCCAAAGGGTTCCATCGAGTTTCACTCCATCCATTCCTGTTAAGGAAAACAAATCTACGGGGTGAGCAATTGCTCGTGAGGCCAAGAAAACACACATGCAAGCACGTTGTCCAAGTAACAATCCCAATATTCAAGTAGAACAATAATATTCAAATAAATTACGATTCGAGTGAGAAAAGTAAACAGAAATAATTCAAAAATATAGGAGCTCTCAAGAGCTATTTTTCACTTGTTTCGCCACGGCTCGATCCGATAACCCCTCGTGATGACATTCCATCATCCGGGTGGGTATTATATCCGTAGAAACTTCACTTATTACATCCTCCGGCCAACATTCCACCCTCTCGGATCCGTAACCAAACACGCACGAAAAAGGCGATACTCGTCGAGTATGCCGAACGAGATCTCAAGAGATCAAGTTTTGACTTTTAGAACACGCACGAAAAGGGCGATACTCCACGAGTATGCCGACTAAGATTTCAAAAGATCAAGTTGTGTTTTGTTATTCTCTTGGTTTATCAAACTTCTCGACCAAACCCATGCCGGCTCGAGTTGCAAGATTGGCTAAGAGAATTGGGCGTCCCCATAAGTCGAGGAGGTTCACTCCACCCGACAACACGACACGCACGACATGCACGACACGCACGACAACATGACATGCACACGAAAATGAATATATTTTAGTCGACAAGATTCACTCAAATCGACTTTGAAAACTAAGTTAATGCAAGTAAAGTTTGAATAAAGGAGAGCGAGTGCGATAAAGTACACACTCGTCTCATCAAGTGATATTCACGTGTATAAGTAGGTAAATCAAGTAAACACGACAAGTCATGCACTTGACACTCACCAATTCAAAGTAATTTGAGTGAGTAAAATATTTAGTTGTCCCCTCTGGGATTCTCTTCAAGACTCGCTTGAGTACCTGAAGCAATTAATAAGCATTTTTCACTCATAATCACGCATTAATCAAGAAAAGAGTTACACTCATCTAGACTAGTCAATATAGGGGTGGCAATTTTCGATACGACCTGAAAACTCGACACGAACTTAACATGAATTAATGGGTTTGGGTTTAGATTTTAAGGATTCGGGTCAGAATCAGGTCAAACCCGATAAACCCGAAAAAAATCGGGTCAAAATCAGGTTGACCTGCTAACCCGAATCTGAAATAAAAATAAATAAATAAATATTAAAAAAATTATCTAAACACTAACTGTACACAATTATTAGTGCACTAACGGTAATTGTACATAATTGAAGGCTTTGAAGCCTTCAATTTCCTTTGGATTCGATATCAATTGCACTAACGGTACACAATTATAAGTGCACTAACGGTACATAATTGAAGCCTTCAATTTCCCTTGGATTCGATATCAATTCCTCACTCACGGACCTCACCTAACACTAAATCTTTCTTCCCTTTTTCTTCTAAACAGCAAAACCAGCCGTCTTGCCCAGTTGCCCTTCATAGCTGAGATCTGAGCTGAGCAAGAAAAAATCAGTTCCTAAGGTGGTGGAAACGTGGGGGGAACCTGATTCCACTATGGTAAGCATGATCTGCAACTTCTTTATACCGTAACCAACAGGGATCAGTTTTGAGGCTCCCCACAAAAGCCCAGGCATCTTGACTTTGCGTACTTTCTCCTCGAGCTTCTTCATGTCTGTCTCATCATCCCAATGTTTAATATCCATAAGAACGGATGATTTTCCACTCTCTTTCTTCTTGGTGGATGCTTTGGCAGCCTCCCTCTGTTCTACTGCCTTCTTTTCCTCCTCTGTTTCATCACCAAAGAGATCAAGGTCATCATCATCTTCTGCTGCTGGTGCTTCCTTGGCCATCACAGCTGGAGTAACTTCTGCTGCAACACCTTGGCCAATTCTCACTCCAACAGCTTTTCCAGGAAAGCTTGGGGCAAGTTTTGAGGAGACGGAATGGTACCATTGGCTAGCATTGGGACACAAATCAGCACTGGGCTGCTCCAAAACTGAAGCCTGCAGAATCGGGAGAGAGACGGCCCGGCTAATGGCCCTTGACTACAAAGGGGCAAGCTCAACTGTCCGAACCTAAATTTCAGGTCATTTCGGGTCAACCTGGTTCAGGTCAGCATACCTGACCCATCACGAGTTGACGGGTCGAGTTCGGGTCAACAGATTTTTTGGCGGGTCAGGTCAGGATCCGACCCGTCAACCTGATTTGGACCCGATTGCCACCCCTAATTCAATACCTCAAACCAAGAACCTTAGCCACTCAAAATAAAGGTTCAAAAGTGAGATTTTATTAACACAACAAAAACTGATTTCCTTCATGAAATCGAGTTTAAAGCGACCAATTATCATCAAGAAGGAATAACGAGTTCTCAAAATTTCATTTTCTAAGAAATCAGTATATTTCAGTTTTGCGCGTCAAATTTAGAAAAATCAGATCTTGCACTCAGTAGGTCCAAAATTGGAAAACTTGGTACCGTTGGAAATTACTTCCAAAGTAATAAAAGTTCCTAGAAGACACTTTTTCATGATTCCAAATGAAAGATATTCAAAATTTAGCTCAAAGTGGCTGTTTTGGAATGCCAAGACAGATTTGGGTTGATTTTTCGGCAAAGTTTGGAAATTCGGCAAAATTCACACAATGTGAACTAACCTCTAAAATTTGGAACTCAATTAGAGTTGTAATCAAATTTTTCAACACAACAAGCGGAACAAGAATTGGAGTTTTGGCCACCGAGATATGGTAGCTCAAAGTTGCTGCAAAAGTGAAACTGTTAAGCAAATTCCAGGTTTAAATCACGTACTTCGGGACTTTGTTTGAGCTTCGAAATGGACTTGGAATGACACCAAATTTGGTATGATTATACTACCATATAAGGGCTATTCCTCTGTCAAAATTTCATAGAAAAATACATACGGAAAGTCGATTAACAAAATCATTAAAGCTCCAAGAACTTCCAAGACAAAACTGCCTTGTGGTTCCGTTTTCCGTTTTCAAAATGTTTGGCCAACAAAATGTCTCAAACATGGTCCATTTGTGTAGAAAATGTCTAAGAAACATCCAAGATGCATTTGGTAGGTGATTGACATCAAGAATTTCGAAACAACAGGTCCCAATCAAGATTTAGACATTTACTAGCCAAAAAGGGGGTTTCAAATCATTGAGTTAGTTTCGGATTTCAGCCACAACTCACTCAATTCAATTTGGAATCGAGTGTGATTAGCGGCGTTAAAAACTAGATTCATAAAGTTACAATTTCTTGGAAGAAATCGCTTCCAAAATCTGTCCACAGCTAGCCTATATTTGAGCATCAATTCGCTGCTCAAAACAGAGCTCCCAGTGTAGACGTAAAACAAGACAGTCATGTTCAAACGATTGGTATGGACTATTCAGGTGGAATCAGAATGTGCATTTTATACCGTTGGAAAGCTGGGAATGTCTAGTTTATAGTACCACAAATGGAACTCGATTTAGACGTTGGAGAAAAAAGTTATAGCCAAAACAAAAACACTGCCAGAGCATTTACGGGAAAATTTCCAGTTTTTGCTGACTTCCGAAAACACATCATTTGGCCAACTAAATCATGAAGTTTTTTGATGAAACTTTCTACACCACCCACACAATATGTATACATCATAAACAAGTCAATAGAATCACAAAATTTTGCTCTAAGGGTCACAGACATTCACAGGGGCAGAAATGGAAAGTTTTCCATCTTCACTCCCTTTGAGCTTTCATCTATAATATCACTCATTTCTACTAATTTAAGCACTAAACCAACATTAATAACATCAAAACACCACAAATCAGTCCATCAAGCCATAGTGGGAGTTCATAGAGCCCACACAACAACTTTCCAACATCAATAAAGCTACCCACAAGAAGATATGAACTTATAAGTGCTATATTACTTCCGTAAATCAAGATTTGAAGGTTTGATCGTCACTTACTTTGCTAGATGTTTCAAGGCAGAATTTTCGGTCCTCCTTAGCCCAAGAAAAGCCGTGGAAAACAAGCTCTTTTGTAGCTTAAGATGATCACCAAGTGCTTAGCACAGTGTGGTTAAATTTTGGTGTGATTTGGTGGAGATTTGATGAAGAAATGAAGAAGAAATTGGAAGAGCTTTGGGGTTGTTTTTCCTCTCCTTTGGCTAGCTGGAATGGAGTGAAGAGAGAGAGAGAGTTTTGATCAAAATGAAGCTTCCAAGAGAAGCTTTAATGTGTGGTCCAAAATTGAGCAAAAGTCAACTCTCCCTCGCGCGCGCACGCGCGCGTTTTGTACTCGATTCCTCTCGAGTTTGTTTCACTAGTGCACTAAACCTCTAACGTACTTGTATTCATAATTTTATTATTCATTCTTAATGATCTAAAGATAAGGGTCTAAAGTCCCTCAATTAGTCGCGCACGCGAAAACGCGTACATCCGATTTATGCGCGATAAAGTGAAACTTTCGAGAAATTCTTATAACGATCGTATCACTAACTAATACTTGAGCACTTAAACACAAAAATACCTATTTTAAGACTACTGTACAAGTCTCCAATTTTTCAAGCTTATAGTACTCTCAAATCGGTTATTGTCTCCAAACACGTATTTGCTATTCTCACTTAACGAGTTTCCAAAAATTAAATTGATTAGCGGGACATTTTAAAAATATATGCAAGTCATAGTTCCATTTTAAAAATATATGCAAGTCATAGTTCCTTGTAAATGGTTCAAAAAGGGTTGAAATAAATTATTCGGAGAAAACATGTGAATAAATAATTAATTAAGCCATTAAAATAGAATTATAAGTGAGAAAAATTCGGGTCCTCACATATGGGACACATGTACTATTTTACTTTAAAACATATTTCAAACTAGTATTAGGAAATTTATTTGAAATAACGATAAGATGTTTTATTAATGATTAATTCTTAGTACCTTAGTTAGTAAGTACTCATAATATACCTGTATAATACATGATTCTAGGTATAATTTAAAACAATTTATTTATATATTTTAAAATACTATGAAAAATAGTTTGACTTTTCACATAATCTTGTAAAATATGTAGTAAAATTTTGTCGTATTATAAGTTTGTAATCATTTTCAATTTTTGAAAAGTTTGAAAGTTTGGATAACAATAATAACAAATCTTCCTAGTTATATATAGAATATTAGTTGTTTATATATCAAAATTTTTATAATTTAACACCTATGAATATAATAAGATGATAAAGTTTTAATAAATTTACATCTAAGATACAAGAAATAATAAGAGTAAAAACCTAAACAAAATGAGACATAATATAATAATAAAAATGACAAATTTAGTATAACAATTAATATAAGAAAATCAGTATGATCTGGATTTTTTTCCTTGGGAGATTGTTTATCAGAATAGGATCCATAATTATAAATGAAAATCACATGCATATATAATATATTGTCTAATTTAAATTAAATTTAGTTCATGTATAAAATGGTCCTAAAAGATTTGTATAACTCGAAAGATTTGTTGTTATTGTCATCCAAACTTTCTAACCTTTCACAAATTCAAAAATAATTCAAAATTTATAATATGACAAATTATTCTTACATATTTTATAAGGTCATATGCAAAAAAAAAAAAAAGTTTTCATAGTATATTTAAAATGTTTAAAACATATAACATTTATAAATGATACCTACAATTGTGTATCATACATTTACATTACGAGTAATTACTAACTATAATACTAAGTTTCAATTATTAATAAAAAAATCTTAGCATTATTTCAAATAAACTTCCTAATACTTGTTTCATATAAGTTTCTTTAAGTAAAATAGTAAATTTATGCCACAAACTAGTAAGTTTTGATGATTAACCAAATTTACTATTCTATCAACAATATTTACTATTAATCTATAAAAATTTACTATTACTTGAACTAAACTTACTCTCCAAAAACTATGTTTCAGATATAGAGTAGTAATTTACTTAAAAAAAAAAGTAAGTTCCATATTTATTCAAATTTACTTTTTGAGACATAAAAGTTACTAATTTATTGAGTTAACTTACTATTTTTTATGTAAAACTTACTAACCATAATTTTAGGTATTATTTTATTTAGATGACCAGTACAACAGGTAATCAAATGGTCACTAAAAGTGTTTTACCTGTTATATCAGGTAAAAACAGTTTCGTTACCATAACGATCGTTACTTCAGACTTTTCTTGTATCATTTATAGTATTATTAAGTGACATTGCATTTGATATAGTGTCGTTTCCATGCCATATTGGTTTAGCTTTTTCAAGCAGTACACTCCGAATGATGTTTGTTTACTAGCTCAAGAGATACCCTTTAGTTTTGGCCAAAAACTCAAAAAAATTTTGGGTCACGGATTCATGAAGTCATATATTTAGTTGATCATCATCAGGATTCAGAAGCAAAATGTGCCTACTTCAGTTCGAAGATTTCATCACCTATTCTCATGATCTACAACTCCTTTCTATAATTAATTTAAACTATCTATCGTATTTGCTTTACGTATCCACTTAATTCGCAAGTCTGCCCATAACTGGGCTGGGATCAGTTAAGCTTAGTGTGGGATGCAATGTCACTCATCTAACTGAGGACCCCTTGTGTATATGTCTGTGATGAACAACTCTGAAGAAACGTTTGATTTTTTTTATGGTATCTGATAAGAGCAAATGATCCTACCACATATTTATTTACATTATTTATACTACACTATATGATTTAATTATTTGTGCCAAATTTCTCTTTCTCTGGATAAGGTGATGGGCATGTCTACTAGTCGGTTTTAACCAAGAACCAATTGATGCCCAAAAGACTGACACAGACTTTTTGTAAAAGAATTAAGAGCCTAGACAAGATTATGATAGGAAATTGGCTTAAATTCTTTTAGGTTGATTTCTTATCTTGTGTGGAAGTAACTAGTTTCCTAATTGGTTTTAGTTACTTGAAATAATAGCCAAAAAAATATTCTATTTAGTTTAGGATTAGAAGTTATTTCCTATTCTAAATCAGTGTAGGAATTAGAATTGGTTTCCTATTGTTATTTGGGTTTTGGCCAAATAATGTTCCCTATAAATAGGTGGGTTGACATATTACACAAGGGACACACAAGGACACACAAGGACATAC